ATTAGAGGTCTTATTAGGGTTGGTTGTCACCCTATATAAACTTATTTTTCGTTTTGGATAAAATTCAATAATTATTTAATTTTATTTAAGTTTTTGGATTGAGACTTGTATTTCAGTTATAAAGGTGTAGCCGAGTACTAGCCTTGTTTATCACGCTAACTCGCTGCATCACAAACGCCCCTTATAATTTTGTTTAATTACTTCCCCTCTTGTATTTCTTTGGGTTTTCATTTGGATTGGCATGTTTGGGCTTTATTTTCATCCAACATCTAATCTTAGAATTGCTTGATGTCTAAAAGTTTCAAAAACTTGAAAAAAAAAAAGTTAACATGTTTTTATTGAATGGTCCTTTTTGGTGTTTTTATGTACCATAAAATTTTCAATAATAGAGCGTAAATAGAGTTTAATGGGCCTTAAATAACTTTCATAAAAATTTTCCAACCCAACCTATTATTAAAATTTTTAATAATAGGCTGGGTTGGGCTAGGTGGAAATTCATGCGTTTTGGGTGTATTTTGTCATTCTTACTCAAATAAGTCAAATCCATCAGTATACACATCCAAAGGATCATAATAGTAAATAATTATTATCCTTGATTGATTTTGAAATAATACAACTTATTTAAACATGAGAAAGTTTATGGGTATGATGATCGAATAATACATGATAATTCTTATGAAATAATAAGTCTATTATTATCCTAAATCAAGATAAAATAATAATAATTTGTAAATGGGAGTACAGGATGAAATTATGTGTGATGTCGTAACACCCAACATGGAGGTCCAGATTTAAATTATGTTGTATAGCCCTTAGTTAATTTTGTTAGAATTATTTTAAGATAATTTGAAGAAAATGCCTTAAATTTGCATTAAGGTAAAATAGTCTTTTCACTCAAAACTAGTTGATTTTGTGGGGAGTGAAAAGAGATAGAAAATCATAGAGAATTCAATAAAAGTGAAGGCATTTTGGTAATTGACTAAGGGACAAAGATGGAATTGCCTTCTAGGACAAAGATGGAATTTTTAGGAAAGAGTAGGCAAATGGGAAATGGAGTTTATAAACTAAAATGTTAAGGGTTTGAAACCCTTATTTCGTTCATACCACCCCCACACTCCTCCTCCTTTTTTCTCTCAAATTTTCATTCACTTTTCCAAGGATTGAGGGCTTTGAGTAGATTTTCATAGGGTTTTGATTCAAGGCATCAAAGGTAAGGATTCATACTCTTTATCTATGATTTATTGTGTAAAGGTTGAGTTCTTATGAATTTTATGCTTAGGTTTAAGAGAAGATTGGAATCCAACAAGAGTTGAGAGTTTAGGAGAGACTACTCAAGCACAAGGTTAAGTAAATTCCACTCAAAATCCACTCAAGCTAAAATTTAGAATTCAAGTGAGTAAGATTTATTTTAATATGCAATGTTGTGATTATTGAGAAATTGAGATGAGATGTATGATGTATTATGCTTATTGTTGGATATATTTGAGTATAGAAGTAATGTATGTATTGATGAGGGTTGAAATTGGAAGAATTGGAGAATTTTTTTGGGAGTGTGTTTGCCATGTAGGTATGTGATGCTACAAGAGAGTTTTTTCTCTCATTTTGGATGGTTTGAGAATAAATAGAATGATAATTGAATTAGGGTTTGTTTGTGCACAACTAATGTTTGATGAAATGCCTAAAGTGAAAACATGTTACCAACTGCCCTGTCACAGCTGTGACTTCTAAGTGATTTTTGGGCATCTTACAGATTGAAATGGGTTTATACAAAACATATAGTTGTAGCCCTGTCTCTAAGCTTTAAAACGAGACCAAAACTGTATCAATCCGATGTGTCTAACTCAAGTTATGTCTTCTTGAGTGTGACCTATGCAGAATGACTGTTTTGATGCAATATTGCATTTGTGCATTTCATGTGCATTAAGTAAGAAACTTTAAGCATGAACCATCCTTATGCATTAATTGTGCATTGAGAAGTAGTTTGAGAAGAGTAAGGAACTTTGTGAATGGGCTACTCTAAAAGTAAAGAGAATGAAAATCTAAGAACGGGTTGGTGCTTTGTGAACTCCCACCGAAGTTATGAAGAATGGGTTGGTGCTTATTGAACCTCCACCTAGAAGTCACGAAGAGTGGGTTTGTGCTTTGTGAACTCCACCCCCGTGCCTCCCGTAAGTGAGGCCGTGACACTCAAGTGAGAAAGAATGAGAAATATAGAAAGAAGAGAGAAACAGAATGAGTAGAAGTCACAAGAGTGGGTGGGTGCTTTGTGATCTCCACTCACCGTGTGCCTCCGGTAAGATGAGGTTGTGACATACAACAGAAAGTTAATAGAAAAGAGAGCTATGTGAAAGAGAAACGAAAAAGAATAAATGAGAGAGAGAGTGTAAGGAAAGAATTAAGAGAAAGAGTTACGGGATAGACAAGTGAGGATTTACTTACTGAGCATTATTTTGTGCTCACCCCTTGTTTATCTTGTGTTTGCAGGATCTAGGTGGAACGTGTCGGATGGGCGTTGGCAACGAGACAATACTACACTGTCCACTGTTTTTGATAACTTTTACAAATGATACCTTACTTTGTATAAAGAATGATTATATGTATTAAAAGAAAATTCCGGCCCATTACTTTTGCTAATATAAATGCTTTACTTTATGTATTTCTATGAGTAACCTAGTATGAAGCGTTATTACGATGTGGCTCCGATGCATGCCGAGCAATATCTATTAGGAAGATCGTGGCAGCACGATAGGCTTGTAGTTCCAAACGGATTTAAGAATAGATATTCCTTTGTCATGAGCAATACCTAAACTACTGTACCTTTAACTCCAAACAAGTGTATAGGATCAATTGAAAAGAAATTGAATGAAAGTGAAAAAGAATAAGAATGAAATGAGAGTGAAAAAAATTGGGAACAAAAATAATAGAGAGAAAAAAGAAGTGAGATAGAGAGGAGAGAGAGAGAATCTCGGGAAAAGAGAGAGGCTGAGTGTTCGTTGCCAGCCTTGATGACTCCACTAGGTCTTTTTTCTAATGGAATTTTTTATTAATATGAAAGTCTTATGGGTTTCCACTGAGAACTCAAATGCTGTTCATTAAATAGTTCAGTTCTTTTGATTTGAAACCTGCCTGGAATATATAATTAATATCCTGAAGCTAAAGTCATTTGCTACTATGCTTATTCTTGGGAGTATGAGGTATCCATCTTTAATCCGAATACAATTTTAAATCTATATAGAATATTAATTACAGAAACATTTTGAACTAAACTCTATGTACATAAATTATATATAACACGTTGTGTCCTAATCTGGGGCACTTTAAACTCTAACCATACTAAATTACTACAAGTTTGTAGCCATTCATGCTTTATATATATTAATATTATATATATATATAATATATAATATGATTTTTTTATAATTTTTCAGAGTCAAGAAGGGTCAATTTGACCCTCCTTGACCCCCATCCCTCCGCCCAACTTGTAGGCATATTAAAGTCCACTTTAAACTCTAGTCGAAGATCTAAAGTTTCCAAATAGACCATCGGGCACTGCCATTTGCTGTCGGCCACCATTGTGGGTGGCAAAATTATGATCAAACATGAGAGGAGGTAGATTAGGTGCTAGGGAGTCCAAATAGGTAGTTGGGGAGCCCAAACGTCTCTGGAAAGGAAGCAAAATCCAGTGAAGAAGTTGAACGGTCACTAGTGAAATACGAACAATCACGGCCAATCTTCAATGGAATCAACATGGGAGAGCTCGGGTGAAGGTGAAGATGAAGATATGGTAGCCGATCTACACTGGGGAGGGGCAAATGGGGCCGAAAAAATGGAGGAAACGTCGTTGGAAGCCGAATTCTCACCGATGGTGGGGGTGACAAAGAGGCATGGAGGAGATGGAGAGGACGATTGGCGATGGGGGAAGGCGAAGGGTCACCAGCTGGCGGCCAAAGGATGTGAGGGTTGGTGTGGTAAGGGTCGGTGGCCGACTGTGGTCGGGGGTATTTTGTTAAATTTTAAACTTTTATTGTGGTTGGAGTGTTTTAGCTGAATTCTCAAATGTAAGAGGTTAAAAGAATAATCAAAATATTAACAATAATAATAATAATATTAAAAAGAAGGGCAATTCAATAAAATGCTTTTCCCATAATTCTTTTATTTCTCACAACCAAACATATTAATTATTTATACCCACCAATTTATTTCAATCTAACTAAATATATAAAATATAACATTCTCAATAATTTTCAAGATAATATATCTTTCCATTAATATAACATTCTAAATAATACAACATTTCATAAACCAAACTCCTTTCTATTAGTTTGTTTAATTACTTCCCCTCTCTCTACTTCTTTGGGTTTTCATTTGGATTGGCATGTTTGGGTTTTTGTGTGTCGGACTTCTGGATTTATGACCCATTAATAGATTGGGCCTTTATTTTCATCCAACATAATATTAGAATTGCATGATGTTTAAAAGTTTCAAAAACTTGAATAAAATGTTAAAATGTTTTTATTGAATGGTCCTTTTTGTTATTTTTGTATGTACAATAAAATTTTCTAATAATAGAATGTAAATAGAGTTTTAGTGGGCATTAAATAACTTCCATAAAAATTTATGCATCCCAACCTATTATTAAAATTTTTAATAATAGGCTGGGTTGGGCTAGGTTGAAATTCATGCGGGTTGGGTTGTATTTTGTCATTCTTACTCAAATAAGTCAAATCCACGAGAATACACATACAAAGGATCATAATAGTAAATAATTATTAATCCATTGATTGATATTGAAATAATACAACTTATTTATAAAAATGAGAAAGTTTAAGGGTATGATGATCGAACAATACATGATAATTCTTATGAAATAATAAGTCTAATTATTATCCTAAATCAAGATAAAAATAATAATAATTTGTAAAGACAAAAATATAAATCCTAAAAATAGCTCATAACAATAAATATTTCCCACATCAATCAATGAACATCAATCCTTGATGTTAATTGATGTTATTGTTGTATTTATTTTTGTTGGAGGTGTAATCAATTGGAGAGTCCATAACAATCTCAGTTGATTGAGAATCTCCAGATCTTTTAGATGACACCAACTGAATTATATCAACCGTCTGAGATCCTGTAGAGCTTTTGGTCGGCACCAACTGAGTAATTTTCTTCATCTCCTTACCTTTACCCCACAGTATCGCATAAAGTCCACAGACGATCATGGTTGAACCTAATATACTGACATAATTTGTGAATTAATTACTCTTAAATCTTACATATTTTTCCTGGAAAAAATAAAGAAAATCAAATTCTTCAAGTTACCCCAAAGATATCTGTTCCATATGACGAAAAGATATTATTTATCTTCAAGGAAATGTTTCACATTATTATTACTAGCATATAAATTCTTCTCATATCAAATTATTATTATTATTATTTTGAGAAAATTGGCATCAATAGAACTGTCATGAAGGTGCATGAGCTACCTTTAAAAGGTCTTTCTAGGTATTGGTTCATTTCATTTTCCCTTATATGAGATCACTTAGTACTAAACTCATCCGTTTCCTTTAGAAAATATTAAAACCCTTTCATAATTACAAAATCCCCTAAAAATTATTAACCAAATCCTTATAAAAATATCATAATTTTTTAAAATAATAAATGAGTTAAATATTAAGCGATCTCAGATAGGAGAAAATGCAATAAACCCTTTTAGGAATAAAGATGCCACTTTATGCCCTAATTTATCTATAATGTTCAAAGAGGTTGATTATTCTATTCAAAAGATATATTAAGCTTCTTTCTTAGAGAGGTAAATTGACAAATACCTGCCCAAGTGAAGGGTCTCGTTCAGTATTAACGAACCAAGAAAGGCTACTACCACAAGCATAAGAGGGTTGAAGGAAGATACAAATAAAGGCCCCTTCATACGCACACACCAGAATATCAAGGTCATCAACAAACCAGAAGAAACAATTCCCTGCAACAAATACATTAAAAACATCACATAATCAAACTATTAATAGAAGAAGACGTTATTTTTGTCAGCTATGTTGAAAATAAGAGAACATACAGTATAAGCAACAGTAAGAAGCCTAATATTGAAGCCCAACTTCCACTGATTCCAATCTGTTTCCCTGAAAAGGGCAAACACAACAGACTCTATTGCTGCCATTAGAGACACCAGAGCTGTGGTTGAGTAGTGACAAGGGTATTGCTCACTCATTTTAGCCTGTAAATATTGAAAGGTAAAATAAATAAATCAATAAATTCTTAAAACCTTTAGGCATATATATGTGGTTAACCAAATTTAAAATTAAAGACCTGAATGATCAACCAGGAAGCGTAAGTGAAGCAACTAGCGAGAACCAATAAACATCCAAAGAGGAATTTATTAGATTCGGTATGCTGTGTGGCGGCATGATGCAGAATGTTAATATTTGTAGACCAGATTTTAATCTCAACTCCCTTGTAGAAAGTGAGGAGCATCGCCCCACCTATTCCAATAAATGTTCCCAACACTTTTGCTTTTCCAGCCAATGTCCTTATTCCCACCTTCTCTAGTCTGATATATTCGCAACCACAAACCCAGATTAACCATTGCGTTGATGAATATAATAAGCAACATTGATTTCCATTATTAATATTAATATTAATATTATTTTAAATTATATGTTTTATATTCTAAATATGTTAACAACATGAATTACTGTATGGAAAGTGAATGTAATGTATAAGTTTAATGCTACATGAAGAAATGTTATATACAAATTGATATGACATAAGATATACGGAAGAGAGCAAATAAAGAAAAAAAGTTAATAAATGTTCCGTTAAATAATGATAAATGATGTAATAATATGACAGTAATGTCCTATTTGTTTGCATAAAAAAAACTTGAATGTAACTGGACTTGTATAACACGTTATATAATAATTTTATTTAAGGAGATAAAGAAGACTAGTGGTGATTAGTACCCGAAAGAAAAAGCCAAAAAGAAAGTGATGGCTGGAATGAGATTGCTCATGGCCGTGGCAAACGTTGCAGTTGTGAAGGCCATGCCCGTCAAGTGCAAATGTTGATGTAGTGATCCCCTACGATTCAAGCATTAGTTGGATGAGAAATCTAGAAATAGTCAAGTTTATTATTATCATTATTATTATTATTTTTTAAGATTTTAAACTTACCCAATTAAGCTACAAAGAAAAGCTTGAAAGAGTATCGTCCAAGTAAGTTTTGGTCTGCTATTCCTGCGAAAAAAATATTATAAAAACCATTACAATCCTGCAAAAGTCTTGATTAAAGAAAGTTAGTGAGAAGTGTTTATGAGTGTAGTATTATTGATAAATAAAACATGGAAAGAAAAAAGAGATTGATACATATGAAAAGAAAATGAGCAAACCTTTCGAGAATAAGAGCAAGAGGGACCATAAAAACGGTGGCAAAAATGAATCGATAAGCAACAATAACACTCAAGCTCATTCCATCATTAGCTGCAAGTTTATACAAAACATTGACAACAGCATATGCCACTTGAACCACTACCATAAAGAAAGCCGGTTTCAATCTATATATGAAATTACAAATCTCATCCATCATTCTCAATAAATTTAGCTCACTTAAAGCTCAGAAGTTGTGTCTTCGTGCTTTCCTAGAGCATGCAATTTATAGGGAACTTGGCGATTTGCTGATAGCTGATGCAAATTAATGCCAACTTTATAGTTCAGTTGATTAGAAAAATAGTTCAGTTGCCAGCAGTGAGGAAGGCACTGAAAAAGTCATATAAATTAATGTTCAATAAAAAATGATAAAACAAGAATCCTGATCCTGACGTGAACCTATGTTAACATTATTTCTTAGACTCTGGTAAAAAGTACTGTAAAAATGACAACAAAACGTTAAAAATTTGGAGTGATGGTAAGTGTGGATCTCGATTAGTTATCTAATCAGCCACAATTAGAAAGTTGAAGATGTTATATTTTAAAGGTTGAAGGAGATGCAATAGTTTAAGTTAGTACTTTACTCAAACTTTAGACGTTTGGTTATGATACTATATTAAATTAATTACTTGATAATAAAGCAAAATATAAAAAATTCATTAATGATGTCATATATCACTTTAAATGGTTAAGTAAAACAACCTTTTTGTTACTTCTCATAATACGAAAAATCCAAAAAAGAAAGTTGGATAGATTATAAGGGAAAAGTTTACAATACCATGGATTTACCATAAAGTTTTACTTACTAATAAATAATTCTCTGTATTCAACATCAATATTTGTTTGGTAGACTTAAAAAGAAGGAAATTAAAAAGAATTGTAAGATTGTCGTTTTTAGAAACCATTATGGCTATAAGATTATCCTAATATTTATCTTTGATGTTTTGCAAGAAATAGGATATGTCGACCAATCCTAATTTTATTCTATCTTCAAGAGATAAGTCACGAGAATCACGATGAAATTTTTTAGCTATTATCCTCGTCAACAATTGGAATCACCATAATAAATATAATAAAATAATATTTAAACTGTATCTTAAATTATAATTGTGATCTCTAACAATAGTACCTCCTTGTGATTTCTTTTTATTGAAACTTATCTAAAGCCCTCATGAATAAACAAAAGTTCTTATTCTTTGTGTAAGTGTTTTTGTCAACTTATGAAGTCACGTGTGCACATGTATTACTGATGTTTGCATAGTCATTTGGTTAAGCTCAATCGTATCTGTAGTTTACACATATCATGACATTCTGTATAGATGTGTTCACATTTCTTTAATATGGTTTTATCGCAAAATGTGTAGGCACATTAGAGTCAAATGTGTAAACAGTCGTCTAGTCAGACCTTAGTACAAATGTCGAGTTTTCACTGGCTATTAAGATTCTATTAAGGATTGAAATATGCATGAGTGGTTCAAATACAAGTGTCAAATATTTTAGATGTGGTCTTGGAAATTTGTTTTGCTTTTCAGAAATAGTCTTAACAAGTTGGTGAAAACTTTCCTAAAATAGCCACACATGTGTAAGGTTTTGTCAGTTGGTTGTCTAAGAGTTTATTGCACAAGGATTCTTTATAATTTTCTTCATCCTTGCATTTATGTTTGAACCTGAATTCTCTCCTATTTGTTCTCTAAAATTCCTTAGACAGTTTATTCGCTTTAGGTTAGGTTCTTTATGTTTTTGAATGCTCAAAATACATTGCTAATCTTAGTTGTTTGAGTTTGTTAGAACATGGTTCCATTGATGAAAGCTTAAAGGGATTTCAAGCTGTGGAGCTAAAGGTTGGCTTTGATGTTGAAGCTTAAGTGGAGCTCGAGCTATCCAGGAGTTATCTTGGATTCAAGCAAGCTGTGACAAGATGGTGGATCATCCAAAAGGTGAAGTTAGAGTGTTGTGAAAATAGGCAGTGTTTTACATCGTTTAACTTAACTTCAACTTTGTAATGAACTTTGAATGTTTGCTATAGTGGATTTGCTTCTTTTGGACTTGGTCCTATGGATGTAGGCTGTTGGCTGAACCATGTAAATATGCTTGTGTACATTTTATGCTTATAGTTGATATGATGAATATGTTTAATAACCATACCCACAAGCACCAATGAACACAATCAACACTTATTCCACATTTGATTACAACTTGGTAAATAATTATAGTTAAACAAACTTCCATTTGGTATCAAAGCCCGTTCTAAAGAGTCATTTCAGTAGATCCATACTTGTTGATTGTGCTTGTGCTTTGTTTTAGTGTATGTTGCATCCGTTATCTTTTGTACATTTTTGAGCAAATTTCTCGATTCAGCATGTGTGTCAACATCTATTTAGTGTGTTTCCACATCTGCCTTGCTAGTGTGTGTGTGTGACCACATCTGATTTGTTTGTGTCAACATCTGCACTGTGTTTATCATGAACTTCTTTAGTGAATGAGGGTTTACTAACAAACCACCCATGTTAGAGGGCCCAACTATCCTTATTGGAAACCTAGGATGCGTACCTTCCTAAAGTCTATAGATGAGAGGGTATGGATGTTTGTTGTGAGTGATTGGAAAGAACCCGTAGTTGTTGAAGAAGAGGTGACCAAACCAAAACCAATACAAGAGTGGACCAAGGCTAAATTAGATCTTGCTAATTTTAACTCAAAAGCCTTCATGCCATCTTTAATGTTGTTTGTGTAAATCATATGAAAATCATTGCTGACTTTGAGATTGTTAAAGATCCATATGATAAACTCCAAGCCAAAAATGAAGGTATAAACATTGTTAAGAAAATCAAGCTTAGGAGATTGGTTATTGACTATGAGAATTTGACTATGCATGAAGATGAAAGAAGCACTAACTTTCATGTTAGGAATTGTGATGTTTCTAATGAGTGTTATGCTTTAGTAAAGTCTATACTAATGCTTAACTTGTCAGGAAGTCTTATGCTCATTGCCCAAGAGATTTATGTCAAAGGTGACCTCCATTGAAAAATGCCGAGATCTGGATGTCGTGCAATTGGATGAGTTGATTAGATATTTGCAAACTTTTGAACTCAATTTGAAAAGGTGGGACAACAAATCAGGTAAAAGCTCTTTTACTTTAAAACATGAGGTAATTCCTAATCCCTTCGAAAATGTTGATGTAAGTGATTTAGATGATGATAAGTGTGTCTTATTCACAAAAAACTTTGCCAAATTTTTTTATAAAGAACATGAAAAGGCTAAATGTGGCTAGAAAAGGCAACAACCTTTTGTGAAAAACTTTTCTGACCATTCTAGTCCTGGTGCTTTTCTGAAAAAGTTTTCAAAAGAAAATGAAAAGAAGAACAAAGGCATTAAGTTTTTTGAGTGTGAGGGAATATGAGCACACCAGACATGGATGTGCTCACACTCGGAGTGAATCCCAAATCGAATCTATCTCCAAAAATCATTTCTTGACCAAGCACTTCATTAAGCTTGTATGAACTTGCATTTAACCTTCCAACAATGGGCTTAGCCTCAATTAGTTCTTTCAAAGCTTGACTTAACAAAAACTCTTTGTTGGTTAGATCAAAAGACAAGGTTATCACTTTATCTGACAAATTTTTTTTGTCATCCAACAAAGTTGATTTTTCAGCTTCAAGAGATTTTAACTTCTTGATTTCCTTTAGCCGCTAATCATACATCTTATCATACGCTTTTTGTTGCTCTTGATAAACATCACTAATATCATCTGAAGAAACACTATCACTATCCTCTTGATTAACCATAAAGGCAAAGAAATTCTCACTCTCATCAGGCTCATCTTCCTGACTCTCATTCTCTTCCTTATCACTCTTACTTAGGGTAGTAGCCATCGCTTTACCCTTTCTCTTCAAAGTATTGGGACACTCAACTTGGATGTGCCTAAAAGGCATCAAAACGTCCTGCTGTTGCTATTGTTACTATTGGCAATCAATTTGTAAAGGTAAAAAGTGTTAGAGTAGGTGCCCTAGAATCAATCATACATTGTATATTGACTCTACAAATCATGCTATTCTATCTAATAAAAGGCATCGTTTATATTATGTAAATGATATTCCAAATATATGTCCTTTTTGTGATAATATATGTCCTTAGAGTAGTTGAACCATGACGAGGGAATCAAGTAGTGATAAGTGCTGATTGTGAGATCCCTATGATCACATTAGGTGGTCATTCTAGAAACATCCATAGCTCTAGTATTATTTTGACCTATGGCACAAATAATACGGTAAGACTATCATAGTATTGAACGACTCTACCAGAAGGTAGTGATAGATCTCATATGTCAAGCTTGTTTGGTGACAACTTGGTTTGACGCATGGGTGCTTGTTACGAGTTCACTTGACTGGCCCATATAGGGGATTCCATATAGATGGTAACCCTAATATTTATGGAATACATCATCTAACAGATGGTGGTGCATGTTATCCTTGGACTTGAGATCACCAGAGTGCGGTGTGTAAATATTGGTGTAGTTTGACACTAGTCAAACATAATTCTATTTAGGTTATCAACATAGTAGTGGTTGGCTAAATTGAGAAATACACTATGGCTATGGTGGATCGACAAAGGATTTGTCACTCCTAGGCACAAGAGAAATTATTGCGGTGAGATATTCGATAAGAGACAATGACCTTAAATCAGTGGCCATAGTGGAATCGAGTTGTTGCTCATTTTGTCAATTGATCTGATAATTGAATCTGAATATGTCAAGGTGCCTCATACTTGAAGCTGACATTATTTCTATGCTTCAAACCTTGATGAGATAATAGATTATGAAATGATTGAATTGCACGGTAACCATACTATTGACAGGTAGTGAATTCGTTGAATTCAAATCTGTTGGGTGGCTAATCTAGGTATGTGTGTAATGAGACAATTAATAGGGTGATTGATCACGATATTAGACACTTTTCAATAAGATGAGGAGTCTACAAGTCACACACTTAAAAGGCAATATAAAGAAGATAACGAGTAAGGGTATTTTCATCTTTCATAGACGAAGGGATATTTTGGCAAATCTTACGGAGCAGTTAAATTTGTTGGAAGGGTTGTTGCTTGGATACAATTCCATATTGGATTTAATTTGTAAGATTACATATTTATTCAAGCATATATATATTGGTGTATATATATTAAATGAATAAATAATCATGATTTAAATTAATATATCAGTGTACATGCATTTTAAATAGTGAATTATTATATGATTAAGGCAATAATAATAAAATACCAAACTGACTTTTTCTTAGGCACTAAGTAAAGTCTAATTAAATTAGATATTAGTGGGTGCATTCATGTAATATCCAAGGGGCTCTGGGGTTAGGGTTTGCCTATAAAAGGGGGCCTTAACCCTATTTCCTAAACTAGCTCACTCTTGCCTCTCAAGCTAAATGTGTAGAGAGAAAATTCTCTTTGAATTTTCTTAACCCTTTTTCTTCTTTAAACCACAAAGATCACTCTAGCAAATTGATCGTGTGTGAAGTCTTGCCTTTGTGTGGATATCCGTAAGTACACTTCTAATCTTGAACTCGGAGCGTTTTCAAAGATCGATTAAAGCAGCCATCAACGTGGGTATGAAAGCAAAACCTTGAATGGTTTTTATTGTTCTTAAGCATGTAAAAAACGTAAAATCTCTTATAATTAAGGATTTGAACTTTAGGTTTTAATCAGTAAATTCTTGTTTTCTAGCATGTTTTATTGTGAATAATTCCTAACAAAAAGGTTTGTTCCTATTTGTCATTTCTGTTATAGGAAATGTCACATTAGACCAAAATGCTTTAAACTCATTTCCTTTTTGAAAAAAGGTCTTGAAAATCATGAAATGCTCACTCAAATGTCACCACATCCAAAGGATGCATCTAAGACCAAAAGAGTGTGGAAACCCAAGTCTAACGTAAGCTGTCTTGTTGCCCATACATCTTTGCTTGCATTTTAAAATTATCAATGGTACTTTGATAGTGGTTGTTCTAGACACATGACAGGTAACAAAGCCCTTTTGACAAATCTTGAATTTTTCAATGTTGGTCACGTTACCATGGAGATGGAAAGAAAAGTAAAATTCTTAGTAAATGTTCAATTAATATATCAAGATTTCCTATGTTAAATGATGTCTTGTATGTTGAAGGATTGAAAGCAAACCTAATTAGCATTAGTTAGATCTGTGATAAGTGTTGGTTATAAAGTAATTGGAAGAAATGAGAAACAGTGTCATTTTGTGTCAGCAATATTGTGCTGAGTAATGCACTTTTGTTTTATGTTCAATGAAGCTGTTAAAGCTATTAAGTGTAAAATGTCAGTATAAAAAAGGAAAAACTATTCCCGCTTGTAATTAATTCAATTAAGCAATACAAACTATACTTCACTTCTTAAATTTTCTCAAATTTCTCTTAAACTCTTTCTTATCTCACATGGTATCAGAGTGTTGACTCACGTTAATGGCGAAAATCTCTAATTCAACATCAATGACTAACATCATTGAAGAACTGCTTTGAAATTCACCAAATCGCTTATCTTGAAAGGTTTTACTAGAAAGCAAGAAAAAGTCGCTAAAAACTGAAATAAAAAAAGAGAGTTTAGTCGAGAAGAGAGTGAAACCGAATTTCATTTCTTGATTGATTAGCTAACAACCTTATCGGCCTTTTTACTAATTACAAACTGGCAATATTGCATGTTGCAACTTGATTTGAAACTTGTGCAACTTGACCCAAGACTTTTTCAAAACTAACCTTATGGTACATTTAACCAATTACACCTAATATCTCCTTTTAAGCTGAACCTGCTATTTTTGAAAAACTTTATCTTCAATAACTTCCCATAAATTGGACCAGCTTTTATCTTCAACCTTCTAACCTCATCATTTTACTTGTACGCTTCAATTGTCTTTCTTTTATCTTCAATGTCGGCTCGTAAACTGGACCATCTCACGCACTCAACGGATGATATGCATGGATTGACATCTCAAGTGACATATCTTCTAGTAACTTAGAAACAACATTCAGTTTCTCCCATAGCACACTAAATCGAGCACCAGACAGAGACTTAGTTAAAATATCAGCTTTCTAATATTCAGAAGCGACATAGTGAACAACAAGTTTCCTCTCAGCAACAAGTTCTCAGACGTAATGGGCGTTAATCTCTATGTGTTTAGTACGGGCATGAAACACAGGATTTGACGACAATGCTCCTGTGCTCATATTATCACACCATACTATAGGAGTATGTTTTATTTCAATGCCCAATTCTTTGAACAAATGTTGAATTCAGACCACTTCAATGGCAGCTTGACTTAAGGCTCTATACTCAGCCTCAGTGGATGACAACGATACGACCTTTTGCTTCTTTGAGCTCCATTGAACCAAATTATCATCAAAAAAGATTGCATATCCACTCGTCGAGCGTTGATCATTAATGTCACTGGCCCAATCGGCATTAACGTAGGCCTTAAGCTGAAAATGAGAGTGCTTATGGAAGACAACACCATGATGCAAGGTGCCTTGAATATACCGTAGGACTCGCTTACATGCTGTCCAATGAAGCATGGTGGGATTATGTAAGAACTGAATTATTTTGTTAATAGTGAAAACTAAGTTAGGTCTAGATAACCTAAGGTATTGAAGTCCACTAATAATGCTCCTATAAAGAGTACGTTGTTTAAATAAGTCACCATCTTCTTTACTCAGCTTGGTACCAATTGCCATGGGTGTAACACACGGCTTACAACCCTCCATATTAGCTTTGGCAAGAAGCTCTTGTGCGTACTTGGTCTGAGTAAGTAGCAAACCAGTGGAATTCCTGTTCACTTCAAAGCCTAAAAAATAATGCACCGGTCCCAGCACTTTAAGTGTAAACTGATTATTGCGATCATGAACTGCTTTTGCAATAAGAGTTAGATCATTGTCGGTAACTAGGATGTCATCTACATACACCAATAAAAACATCACAGTAGATTCTTTGCAATAATAAAAGAGGCTTACATCGGAGGTGTTGTTATGAAATCCCCATGTAAGAAGTGCATCAAACCATGCCCTAGGGGCCTGTTTGAGACCATACAAAGCTTTTTGGAGCTTGCAAATCTATTGAGGGTGGTCCGTGGATGAGAACCCTTCTGGAGGTAGCATAAAAACTTGTTCAGTGAGGTCTCCATTGAGAAATGCGTTGTTGATATCAAGTTGTTGAATGTCCCAAGCATTGTGGGCTGCTAAAGAGAACATGATGTGTATTGTGGCTGCCTTTTGCCTCCTTAAAATTTTGTGGAATTGATTGCTTGGTCTCATGTTTTTTTCCTAATTTTGTTTTTGTTCAAAATTGAATAAGTGATTCAAGTCTACTACTTTTGTGTAAATGTTGCCATATTGATAGTTATTGTACCAACATGTTTATGCATGATTTCATTCTCTGTGAAAACTCTTGTGAATGTAGTTACATGTCTAGTAGATGTCTATAGATCTCGTTTGTTTTTATCTTGTGTGTCAGCATGTATGTGGATGTCGTCACATAGTTAAGTTTGTTTCTTATGCTTATGTCCTCACATCTCGTCAAATTGTGGGCACATCTGTTTTAAGTGTCCGTATAGTGTTAAAATTCCTAATTTTTCTAAGGTTATTCTTTAAAATGTAGCACAAAGTGTTTTTCTTCTCTTAACCCGATTTGTGCTGCCTGAAACTCTCTCCTCCCTAAATTTTGTTGAAATCTCCGTAGTCAATCTAATCAATTGTTTTTTGTCCCATGGAACACCAAAGTTCTTCCTTAGCAAACATTCACCACTTGATGCTTACCAAGAAGATAGCAATAGCTCATCAAACTCGTCTAGAACAGGTATCCAGGTCCTCATCGACTTCATCTAAGAAGACCCAAACTGTGTCTGAGTCTTCCAATTTAGGAATTGAGGAACCCATTAAGGAATTGAAATGTTCAAAGAGCTCACTTGCCAAATCCAAAGGGAAGAAGAAGTCATCTCAGTCTCGTAAAGGGAAGAAGGAAGCAAAGATTGCTCCTCATACTTCTGATTTTGGGAAACATCTTACCTTTATTTCCCCAAGTGTTGAAACTCGATTTGTTGACTGTGAATCCAAGCCTCAAACTCAAGCAAAAAACAACAAACTCTTGTTCCATATTTCAACTATTTTATTGTTAAAAAATATGGAGTCTTTTTACTCCAAAAATGGTTCAACAGAAAGTCTTCAAATGCAATTATTTTTAACACCAACCTACAGCACACGTGGTCTTCTTCTTCTTCAACACAGAATGCACTTCAACATATAGAGTTTAAAATAAGATCAAAGGGTTTAAACTATAGAGTTTTTTGTTTGTTTCATTCTCTTATGAATGATAAAGATTTATTTTGACATGGATCGAAGCAATTATGAGTATAAATTGTAAAGTGTAGCTAATGTGTTTAATAAGAAAGGTTTAGTCACGTTTCTAGAAAAGTCTTTTGTAACGCCCACTTGAGGTACGTAGCTCATGTTTGTTCATTTTGCCCTTAATGTTGATTGTTTGCCCTTAGTTAAGCTTGTATGTTGTTAATATTGTTTGATTGGCCCTTAATTGAAGTGATATGTTGGTTTGGTTGAGTGGTTGCCCTGAATTTGGTAAAGACTTGGCGAAAATTTGGAGTTACAGACTTCGTTGGGGCGAAGAAGAATCTTCGCCGCGGCGACATAGGTTCTGTAATTTTTCACCTCTTCTTCGCCTCGACGATGTAGGTTCTGTAATTTTTTGCCGCAGCAAAGAGTCGGCTGAAATTCTTCATGAAGGTTCTAGAGAATTTTCCATAGGGACAAAGTGACCATTCTACCCCTAATTAGCAGGAAAAGTGAGGAGTGAAATGTCAGAAAATTTCATGGAGAATACATTAGAGTTGGGGTTGTGATTGCAAAGAATTAAAGGGCAAAGTTGAAATTTCCAAGAAAATGTAAGGGTAAAATGGGAAAGAGTGCTTATAATATGAGATATTAAGGGTTTAGTCGTATAAACCCCCTCATTTATCTTCTTGCACCGCCACTTCCATCCTTCATTTTTCTCTCAACTTTTCACTCAATCTTCCAAGGATTTTGAGGGCTTTTGGTTAGAAATTGATAAGGAGTTGATCCTAAGCAACAAGAGGGTTTAAGAGGAAGCTTGAGCCCAACAAGAGTAGAGAGCTTTAGTGGAAACTACTCAAGTATAAGGTAAGTAAATCCAACCTAAGCTAAGTTTTAAGTGATTGAATGATGTGTAGAGATTGTTTATATGAATCTTGCATGAGTTCTTTATGCTTAAGATGAGTAGATGGAATTGTTATTGAGTTTGATGATGGTTCATGGTTGGTTTTTCCACTATGAAAAGGGTTGGTTGTGTTGATAGAATTTACTAGAAGTTTGGATGGATTTAGAAAGAGTTTGAGAAAAGTATTTGGAGTGTGTTTCCTTGGCAGGATTTGTGATGATTCAAGGGAGTTTTACTCCAATTTTGGATTGTTTAAGAAAGAAGTAGAATTATAGTTAAACTAGAGTTTATGTATGCATACTTATTGTTTGATGAAATGCCTAAGAGAAGCATGAGTACGAGTAAAGAACCTTAATTTTATGCAACATTGCATATTTGCATTTCATGAGTGCATTTAAGAAAGAATTTAAGCATGAGCCATCCATATGCATATATTTATATATGTGTAATAACTTAAGAAAGAATCATAAATTGTGAGAGTAAAGCACTCTAAGAGTAATGAGAAAGAAAGAATAAGCACTAGAGAAGAAAAGAAAGAAAAATGCAAAGAAGAGAAAAGATTAGGTTGTGCGATGGGGAACCCGTGAGTGATGAATAGAATATTCCCGCATGTAGGCCGCCTTCAGTGAGCGGCCTAAGAATGAGAAGAAGAATTGGTATAGCCCGTGAGAGTGTATGTGGGATGAGGGCTATACCCGAGAGAGAGAATACACTCACATGGCCAAGGGTTCTGAATCCATGCATCAATCGAGTCCGACCAGCATAGATTAAGAAAGAATAAGAATGAGAAAGAATGAGAAAGCATGAGAAAGAAAATAAAAAAGAGAATAGAAAGAAAAGAAATGCATAAAAATAGAAAACAAAAGAGAAGAAAGAGAATGCATTCCTATGCATTACTGCATGTGCATTTCATTCATGCATTGTTATCATGACTTCTATCATGATCTGTAAGAATAAGAGAGAAACAAAGAAGAAAATAGAAAGAACAAGAGAGAAAGAAAAAGAAGAAAAAGAGTAGAGTAAGGAAAGAATTAAAGAATGATGCACGGGGATAACGGAGTAGAGGATTTACTTACTAAGCATTTTTGTGCTCACCCCGTTGTTTTCTATGTTTTTGCAGGAAATAGGTGAGGATGCGGTCGGATGGACGTCGGCCAGCGGAGAGAACTGGCAACACTGTCCACCATTATGATAGTTTTTGTACATGTTCTTTTTGTACTATGTAAAGAATGTATATATTAAGTAAAGAAAAATTTGGGCCCAACTACTTTCTATTAATTATACATGTACTTTTATTAAGTATATTTTATGAGCATATTAGTAGAAAGAAGTCATTACGTCTTTTTTCTTCTCTCTAGTTTTTAAGTTCTTCATACGGTATCTGAGCTTTTGGCAGACGTCAATGGCGGATCCAAAAACACCTCACTCTTCAGCTTTCAATACAGAAGGAAAAATAATGAATTCATTCTCATCCTTAGCACTTAAAAACACATTACCTACTGTTACGGTGAAACTAGGCGAGAAAAACTATGCCTACTAGAAGTCACAAGTGTTTCCAGCCTTGAAAGCGTACGAATTAGAAGGTTTCATATCAAGAGAAATTTGCCCTTCTGCTTTTATTCTTTCTGTAACTGATGAACTGAAGAAGATAGTAAATCCAGAACATGCACAATGGAAAAAGATTGATCAATTTTTGTTCAGTTGGCTAATCTCATCCATTTCAGAAACAATGTTTAGGCATGTAGCAAATTGTGAAACAACATACGAAATATGGCACACTTTAGAAATGCATTTTCTAACAGATTCTAAGGCTAGGATTTTGCACCTAAGGAATCAATTACAGACTAGTAGGAAAGACAATTCCAGTAAAAATGACTATGTGCTGCAAATGAAAGAAATTGCTTGATCTTTAGCCATAAGCAATGTGACTGTGACTGATGAGGAATTGTTATTATACTTACTTGATGGACTTGGATTAGAATACGATGCAATGGCAACAACCTTAACCTCTAGAAGTAATGAAGTGTCACTGCAAGAAGCACAATTCTTGCTACATAAACATGAAATGCTGTTGGAGAAACAACACTCAGCCTACATAGGCTTTCATGAAGCTACTACCTTTATAGCAAATAAACAGTCTATCAATTCACAACCACAACCTACCATGTTAGTAGCCAACACCTCAGAACAACAACCACATCAATTTTCACAATCTTTCTCTCAAAATCATAATGAACCTAAAAATTCCTATTAGTTTGCCCCAAATTTCCAGTCCTATAATCCTAATTTTGGAAGAAGTAGAGGAAAAGAAACTTTGACAAAGCATGGCTCTTTTGTCAGTTATGTGGGAAGAGTGGTCATATGGCTCTTTAATGTTACCATTGTTTTGATACCTCTTTTCAAGGAAATTAGAATCATAGACCTTCCTTTAGTTTTGATTATAACCCATCACCACAACCTACACGGACCGTGGCTCCTACACAAGCCTATTTTGCCAACACTGAACCTGGATATTCCAATTACTACTCAACACAACCTTTCACAAACTCATCTTCAATGGTGTATCATCAAATGAACTCTCAGAATGTTGTACCTACAAACCACTCACCTTTGCAAATCAATCTATCACAACAGTATTCTAGAATTCAGGGGAAAATCAGCTAAAACAATACTCTGTAGCTAAACAGTAAAATCCGACAGCAACACCTCTAACAGTATCATATCCCAACAAGTTTATTAACTTAGGGGCCACTAATCACATAACACCTTCTCCACAGAATCTCTCTCTCAAGAACCAATACACTGGATCAAAATCTTTGCAAGTTGGAAGTGCCTAATGTCTTGATATCTCCCATACTGGTCTGACTACTCTCCCCTCCTTTTGTGTTGGCAGGTCTTACAACTCAAAAACATTTTGTGTGTTCCACAATTGACTAA